CTGAAGGTGGTTTTGATGTTCTGGTTCTTTATGTAGGTGCTTGTGGTATGGTGTTGCTCACTTTGTGAAATGCCATTCGATGACATGCTTGTGATGTACACGTTTCTGTGCATATATTATACTACAAAATATAAATGTTAACAAATTTAACTTTGCTGAAGGTTTCATGAAAAAGTTATTATAGGTGTTCTTTATCTCATTCCTCCTTGGACCAATGTCAATTGCATTATGGCAGTGTTCTGGGGCTGTGACAATGTCCAGAGGAAAAGAAAATAGGGTGATAGGATCAGTTACTCACATCCATGTGCGTGTGCCTTGACTGAAGCAGTCCATGGTCCATATGGAACAAGATAGCCTTGGAATGGCACACTGGGCTACCAGCTGAGGCCCCTGACAGCTAGCAGCCTTGTCCACCAACAATACTAAGGATGAAGGGTATCATACCTCAGCACACCTGCGGGGAAGCTTTCCCTGTGTGGGAAGACATGGACCTCCATTACACACTTCAAGTTCTCTAAGTTGTCCAGGTGGAAGAGCCCATGCTTACTTGGCCCTTTTGTACCTGGAGAATCCACACAGCTGGATTCCAGGTCCCCTTGGGAATCATGAAGATGAGGACGTTGCAGGGAGGTATGTGTGGCATTCTGGGCCTCTCCTCGATGTCATGGCCTTGCTTCTCCTTTCAGCCTGGTTTTCTACCAGACCTCATTCTCCACCCCACAGCACATACCGTGAGCGCATTATACATTATGCCCGGGACAGGCTGGGTTTGTCTGTCATCTGTGAACATCTGTGCCAACTGCCAACTGTGCAATTGCCTCTACAAAGTGGGTCCGCTGGTCACTCCTGCTCAAATCTTTCCCCTCTTATAAAGTTGTCTTCTTTTTATACATGTTCTGAGAGCTACCACCTTACTTCATGTTTAAGAGTGGTGTGTGTGTGTGTGTGTGTGTGTGTGTGTGTGTGTGTCTGTGTATTGGGGATCAAAACCAGTGTCTTGGTTATGCTAAGCAAACACTCTACTGCAAAACTGTATCCATAGCCTATCTTGGTTTGTATTACTGCTGTGTGCATGAGAGAAAGGGCAGGGGGAGAGGGAGGAGGAGGGGGGGGGGAGTATCTTCTTCATAGACCCGATTTCCTGTCTTGACTTCCAGACTTTAGATAGACTCTAACAAGAACCCCAGCTTCACTGGGTTTCCGTGGCTACACATTTCCCCCTTGTGATGGACTCTGGCTTCTCATGGGATCTGTCCTGCAGCTATTCTACTCTTCACCACCTACTAGCCATGGAACAGCCTAGATAAGACAGCTCCCATCTCTGGCTTTTACCTGCTGCACCCACCAAGGGGTGGGTTGATTATCAGTGGTGTAACAAGGGGAAAAGTGACTGTGACTCAGTCCTGACTCATCTCAGTCAAGCAAATACAAAACTGCAGTGGCAGCATGTGGCCACAAGGGGCTCTTCTGGGCCAATCCAGACCAGCAGAGAAATGGAACTTCCTGTCTGTTCCAGGCACATATACAAGAAAACCATGGAAGGGGCTTCGTGTACTGAACCTCCCATATGACTCCTCTTAGCTGTCTGACTCCTTTTAGCTGTTTTGTACTTTAACACATTCCCTTTGCCTTCTGACATGTTTCAGGTTCTTGCTGTTGCTTTGTCATAGACCAAGAGTCACCCTAGAGAGAGAGATCTCCGCTTCTGTGTTGTCTTTTTTTTTTAATTCTATCTTCTTTGTGAAAACCAAACCATGACCTCCATTTTTTCTTTTGAGAACAAGGAAAGGATGAGGATCCTGTTTGATCTCTTCGATATCTCCTGATGACCACTTTTGTCTCCCACAGCTGAGTCCTGAGCTCCATTTCTGATCAGAATTCCCGGAAGATCCCCTGCTCCAGAGAGTCCCCTGCCCATCACCTCTCCCATCAGGCAGCAGCCTTCGATGGCTCACCCCCACAGCTCATTCCTACTAGCAAGGCTGAAATACTTGAAACTGCTCAATGCACAGTGATGTTTCAAACCTTAGTACTTTGCACACATTCCTTATTCCCCACCCCTCCCTTATCACCTTCTCTGCCCTCAGCCTTGCTCCAGGGTACTTACCTGGCAGAGCCCTCATTCATTCTCCAAAATGTCAGCATCTGTGAAGCCTTTCCTGACCTACTCCTTCCTGGGCTCCAGAATCCCTCCTATAATCCTGAACACACATCTCTCCTAGAAAGGTCGTTCTGAACTATTGCACCCACTCACAGGCCTGCCTGGTCTTTCCTGCTGGCTTGGGCTCACATGACGTACTCCAGTAGCTCTGGTCAGCACCTAGAGCAAATCCTTTATGTGCTTCCAACCCGTTTGCTGAAAAGATGTGAGAATCCAAAGAGAACTTTGTGCTAAGCAAGTGTTCTCATTGCTTTCACAGTAAGAGGCAAACTAATATCTACCTTGACTTGCCTGTGTAGGAATCCTCACAGGAAAGATGAATGGGGTGTGATCTTTTTGTAATTTCCCCACTTTTCCAGTCAAAGGAAAGGCTAGTTAGAAATAAACCATTAATCTGTCTCCCTGGAGATCCCTCCCAGCCTTCTCTGGAGTTCAAAGTTAATGATTCTGAGATTGTTTTCCTCACTGGGCCCATTTGTATCTAATCGTTGACACATTCCCTCCTTTCTTCAGAATTCTTGACTCACTCTGGTAAGTCCTTATCCTGGGGATCGAGAACCTTGTTTGGCTGGTGAAAATGGTGGGTGTGGGTAGATCTTGGGCTGTCTTTCTCAACAGATTCCCATCCTCCCCGGCCTTGTCCACCACGCTCTCTCCCTTCACAAGCTGAAGTCTGAGTCCTCAAATTTTAGAAACTAACTACAGAGGTTCGAGCAACAAAGATAATATGACCTAAGTTATCACCTCCTTTGTGTGAAGTTTGAGGAGTGATTTAGAGGATGCCAGAAGAAATTTCTTAACTCTTCAGTTAGAAAAAGAATTCTGGGTCCTATCTTTCAAAAGTTTAGTTAGTGGCTGTGGGGAGGAGTGAGAGAAAGGGCTGGAATTCCAAGATCTGTTTATAACTATAATACAAACAGGCCGAGGCTGGGGAGAAAAGCCCAGGAGCCAGGCACAGCTTAAGAGATGGTCTGAGTAATCTTCAGATAAGGCCAGGGTTTTGAGCTCACTAGTGTTTAAAAACTATCCCATAAGGGCTACCAGGAGTCTCTTCAACCCCCAACTGCTGTCTTCTCTTAATCCTGTAGACTTAGTGTGTATCTCTATAGAGCTCTGGTTGCAGGTTCTTGTGATACCTCCTCCTATGCTCCAGAGAGGCCCCTGCATACCTTAGATAGGACTGTATAAAGTTATGGTAACAGGGCAAGTGCTTTCTGAACCTCAGTGTCCTCATCTGTAAAAGGGGGGTAAAGCATTCTTTCTTAATAATTAACCATGGGTTCTTGTACATACATACTATTTAAAATTTGCCCTAACTGTGACTGCATAAGGCTGATAAAGAAATAAATTGATTAAGTCTGTGGCAATAACAACTTAATTACAACTGCCATCACAATTACATCCTGATATGGATAAACCAACACGAATCACTAAATGCCCATGTACCTGCTCCCTTGCATAATGAACACAATCCTTACCAGAGACAGGTGGCTGACGCCTGTAATTTCTATTCAGGAGGCAGAATTCAGAGGATGCAGGAGAGCCTATTACAAAAATAACCAGAGTAAAAAATAACTGGAGGTGTACCCTGAGTGCTGCCCACCCCCCAAAAGAAAATACCACTGAAAGTCTTGAGACCATCTCTTGTTCTTATCTTTTGCTTTTCCACCAGCCTGAATTTCCCCATTCCCTTGTTTTTATCCAGTTTGATCTTGTTTATGAACTTGTAGAATGGTATCCTATTGGTTTTTTTGTTTGTTTGTTGTGGGTCATGGGGCCTGAATTGTGGGCCTGGCACTGTCCCTCAGCTCTTCAGCTCAAAGCTAGCGCTCTACCACTTGAGCCACAGCACCATTTTGGCTTTTTCTGCTTATGTGGTGCTGAGGAATCGAATCCAGGGCCTCATGCATGCAAGACAAGCGCTCTACCACTGAGCCACCTTCCCAGCCCCCTATTGGTTTTTAAAAAATATTATGAAGCCAGGCGTCATGGCTCACGCCTATAATCCTATATATTCCGGAGTCTGAGATTGAGGATCACGGTTCAAAACCAGCCTGGACAGGAAATTCCATGAGACTCTTATCTCCAATGAACCACCACCAGAAAACATGAAGTGGTGCTGTGGCTCAAGCAGTAGAGCACTCATACCTTGAGCTGAAGAGCTGAGGGACAACAGCCAGGCCCAGAGTTCAAGCCCCACCACCACCAACAACAAAAAAATACACTTATATCACATTGAATATCTCATTCCATATCTCACTGTAATAGTACTTCTTGATGGAAATTTTGACTGTTTCCAGTGTTTTGGTCAATAGTTTCATAAATGTCACCTATTTTCATAATCATCTCCTACAACAATCTGGGTTGCAGCATATACCTCCAGACTTCCAAAGGTTACACAAAGATTCCCCGCTCTGATTGCCAGCAAACAATGCTGCCTCTCCTTTCCCATCCTCCCTTATCTTCCCCCTGGACTATGAGCTTTAGTGGAAGAAAAGCTCATCACAACACAGGGAGAAAGTGGAGTAGACCTCTCAGCACACAGACTTTGGCTCTCAAAGTCAAGAAGGGGCTGAGTCTTCACACTGGCTCTGTTGAGCCCGAGGGTGAGCAGTGGGGATCCCTTTGACTGTACCAGCGTCTCAAGTACAGTTGACATCACACAATGCACTGTGACGTCGCCCCTGAGCTATGGGACAATTCAGACAGCGTGCAGCAAGCCATTCCCAGGTTGAATGGTTCTTTATTTAAACTGCAGTCATGGAAGATGGAATCGGCTCTCTCGGGGTACTCCCTGGAGCCCTGAGATCCCTTTGCAGCTTATGGCACTGGCTTCTATTTAATGGCTTTCAAGGGTCATTGTCTCGACGACGATATCAGATGTCACAGAATTAATGATCTCCAATCCCTGGCCATGCTCCGCTGTCTCCATGATGGCCTCCATGTTGGCCCTCTCTACTGTCTTAGCCATGAGGTCGACAGATCTGCCACGTGATGAGGCGATGCCTCGGGGTGAGGCTATCCCCTTTGTAGTAAGGTTGGATCTGATGTTCTTCAAGAAAGAGTTGATCCGGCCGAGTCTCTTGTTTGTAGAAGCTGAACTTGCAGTGGAAAAGCTCCTCCCGGACTTGTGGGAGGTCCTTGACTCCTTTGAGATGGGGATGTGGCCCCTGCCCTTGTGGGAAATATTACGCCTATTTTCCCAGGAGCCCACTGAGCCTGTTTCCTTCTTATCATCTCTAGTGGCTCTGTGACTCGATTTTCGGGTTATCTTGTCCCCCTCTGTCTTGCGATGACCTTCCCCGGTCCTGGTTTGATGTCTTCCTCTATCCTTTTCTCGCTGCTCCCTTCTTTCCCTCTTCTCCTTGCGAGCTGTGTCCAGAGAGATTCTCTGCTGGCCAGCCTGTCTACCCATACGGCTTTCATTCAGCAAGGGGGAGCTGAGCAATTCAATGGCTAAGTCACTCTCTAGTTCAACATTCTCGTGAGTAACGTCTACTCTTGTTATTCCCACGCTGCCTTCTGGGCAGAGGCCGGTGCCTGTGTTGGGAATGTGCTCTACGGATTTGCTTGCTGTTCCTGCCCTGGCAACCCTAAAGCTCTTTGGGGATGTCTTGGAAGTACCTGTGATAGTCAGGTGGCTTTTGCTTCCTCTTGCCTCTATGGCCACCCCTCTTGCAATGGCTTTGCTTACCTGCCCAGAGCTTGCAGACTTGGTTGCTGCTACACCCAAAGTGCCTGCGATTGCTGCTGCCCCTGCTCTAGCTGTTGACTCCTTGCTAAGGATGGTAAGTTTTCTTTTGGGGGTAGACGCATCAGGCAAGGTAGTGGATTTGTGGAGGTCGTACTTTGTTCTCTCCCCACCAGCGTAAGCAGCGGAGGTGGCTCTGTGCACTTCATGGACCAGGTGGAGGCTCCTGATGCTGACTTGGTCCTGATCTCCTTTCCCTTGGAACTCAGCAGCTGTCAAACTTGTCCTGTCCTCTTCCTCAAATGAAGGCATGCATATTGTGTCCTCAGCCGGGATGGCGTAGGTACTGCTGTTACTGTCCACAGGCGGTCGCAGGAGGTAAATCAGTTTTTCCCAATAGGCAAAGAGATCTTCCCGGGCGTCAAGAGGGGGGCACAGCTGCAGGTAGCAAGAACGGCCCGTGGCAAATTTCAGGCGAAGCTGTTGTTTCCCATGATCGTGAATAGAGATCCTTACAAACTTCAGTGGAAGGAGCCTGGTGAGCTCCAACGGCCTGGTGGCCCTGCGCTTTCTTCCCTTGTTTGGGCCTCGTCCAGCCGGGTCCTCAGTGCTGGTGGCTGGTCGAGCCAGCAGCATGACATCTGGAAGTGGGAGAATGGGGCTGGTGCTGGCAATCCCCACGGTCACCATCCGGACCCGGTTGTGCACGTCGATCACTTCTCCCCTTTTGGTGATCTGGATAAAGTCACTCTCAAATATCGGTGCATACTTGAAAATATCATACTCTCCCTTATACAGTTGCCTCTGTAGTTTCCCCATCGCAGTATTGAACAGGCCCACGCCCGAGGCACTTTGGGCGGTGTAATAGGGCAACACACACTCACTTTTCGTGGCCATCTTGTACCAGGACAGGAACTCTGGCAAGAGCGAATCGCTGTGGTCTTTCTTGGTCTTGTTGGCAGAGCTGTGTTCCTGGGTCACAGAGATTGCACTACAGCAGGTCCCTCAACCCCACCCCACCCCGCAGGGCCCCCAGGTTGCCTCAGAGCCCCCCAGAGGCCGAGCTGCGGGTGGGAGCACAGATGATTGACAAGGAGGCACTGTCGGATACTTGGACCCCAGACTGAATCCCATCAAAGGTGTAGAGATGCAGGTGGGTTCCGGCGAAGTTTTCTTCTGGGTCTAACCCACTCACCTCCACCTTGTGATATATATATAAGTATTTATTTACTTATTTAAATCTCTGTGAGAGTCTACAAACTGTAGTCCTAGTGGGAGAAAGTGGCCACCCTTTTGGCCTCAAGCCCCTACACAGCCACATTTATCCTTGTTGTCCTTTGTGACCTGTCATTGTCACATACACCTTTGTTCTCCTACTTCAGCTGTCCCCACAGGGGACAGGACTCCCCTCAATCTCCATCTGCCCTGGCCAGGGACCCAGGTAGGTAACAGAACATTTTTCAAATGGGAAGTTTTTAGAGAAATGCTTACCTCCCTCCCACAAATGGAAAAGATCCAACAATTCTAGACAGTCTATAGAAGCACAAGATGACAGAATACACTTGAACCCTGAGTGTTTATGGTTTAATTTTATTGAGTCATCTATAATTGGTGGTCTTGGTTCTTATCACATCCTTTCATAAAATCTCAGTAAATGTTAACACAATGATCTTTCATTAAAAACTCTGAGGTTTAATAATTAAAGTTTAATGTAACAGAAGTTGCATCTAGACATTATACTATGCTGTGTGTGTGTGTGTGTGTGTGTGTGTGTGTGTGTGTACTGGAACTGGAACTTGAACTTGAGCCTTGCATTCTTGCTTAACTTTTTAAGTCAAAGCTTGGCACTCTAATGTTTGTCCTATACCTCCACGTCTGGCTTTTGCTGGTTAATTGGGACTTTCCTGCTTGAGCTGGCTTTGAACCATGATCCTCAGATCTCAGCCTCCTGAGTAGCTAGGATTACAGACATGAGCCACTGGTGTGTAGATGTATCCTGTATAGCATTGTAAGAACTCCTTGAGTTTGGGACTGTTGTAACTATTCTTGTTACATGGAAAGACAATGAAGGTATCTTTTGCCTACATTTAGAGATTAATAGAATTATTTGAATCCAGGTCTAGCTGTCTGATGCAAAATTTTTGTTCTAAATCACTACAACTGTTGCCTTGCAAAAAAAATTTTAAAAAACGTGAGTCAATCTTTTCAAACAGGACTAGTGTATTTGAGTTCAAGAAGACAAACATTATAGGAAGTTATATGATGAATTGTGGTGTGTGTGTGTGTGAGAGAGAGAAACACAGAACTACCACTTTAGACAGTGGGTGGGATGTTAGGTATTATATTTTACAGAGTTTCTTCCCTCTTTTTGCTTGAATAAACATCCTGTGTATGAGAATTCAGTTAGGCTTCCAATTTTCTCCTCCCTCTCTCATCTTGTCAGTAAAATACCATGTGGTAAGGGGGGAAAGAAGGCAGGAATAAGTGGTGGTCCTTAAATTCCAGAAGCCAATCAAGTGCCCTCCTGTACGACAGGCTGGTTTGGAAGCCATTTACACACACGGGGAGTATCTGTTGCCTGCCTTGTTCTTGTTCGGATGTAGCCACAGACTGATTTCCAAGCTGTAAGGTTCCCCTGTTCCTGACATTTTCCAGTTTGAAGCTCTGCCTGAAATCCCACCTCAGACAATCATTCCTGAAGGATAAATTTTTCCTGAAGGATAAATTGTACTTCTGCTAAAATTGTTTATGCTTCTTAATAATTTTTATTGTGATTAGTGATTACCTAAATTTCACAAATTTCAGAGTGTTGTGAGATAGTGATACTTAAAATCACAAACACATTCTAACCTTCATGAGGCAAATTGTCATAATTGTGGTCTATAAAGTGTGTGAATTCTATGAGCTTTGACAATACAGCTATTTCTTCTACATTGGGTGGTAGGTACATTTCTTTCCTTTTGCTTAGTGTTAGCTGATCCCTCCAGCCCTCTCATTCCCTCCTTCCCATCACTGCCCTTGAGTTGCTTCGTTTTCATCAATGTCCAGTGCAGCTAATGGGCCCCTCTGTTGTTTTCCCTGTTTCCTTGTGATTCTGTGTCCTCCTCCTAGTTTCCCTTAGATGTGCATATATATAGACCATATATGTGGTCAACAGTATGGGGTCATTTAGTAATGATTCGACCAGATGAGTGGAGGTCCTTTGTCTCTTGAGTCCTGTTTACTTTGTCGTATCTCCTTACACTTTGTATTTAACATCCACATATCAGGGAGACCATGTGCCGTTTGTCTCTTTGCTCTTGGCTTACCTCACTCAAAATGATTTTTTCTAGTTCCATCCATTTACCTGCGAATGCCATTGTTTTGTCCTTTCTAATGGCTGCATAATATTCCATTGTATATAGGAACCACAATTTTTGGATCCATTCATCTGTAGTGGGGCATCTGGGTTGTTTCCATATCTTGGCTACTGTGAACAGTGCTGCAATGAACATGGAGGTGCATGTGTCCTTGTATCCTGGTTCCTATTGCTCAGGGTAGATGCCTAGGAGTGGTATGGCTGGGTTGCAGGGGAGGTCTATATTTAGCTTTCTGAGGTACCTCCAGACTGCTTCCAAAGTGGCTGGCTGATACTTAATTTTTTTTGTGTCAGAGTCAGAGCTTGAATTCTTAGGCCCAGGAGCTGTGCTTAGGCACAGGGCTAGTGCTCTAACACTTCAGCCACAGCTCCATTTCCTGCTTGTATATGTGTGTATGGTTAACTGGAGTAAACAGTCTCAAAGACTTTCCTATGTAGGATGGCTTTGAACTGTTATCCTCTGATCTCAGCCTCCTGAGTAGCTAGGATTCTAGGCATGAGCCACCAGCACCTGGCTTGCTTACTCATTTTAAATTTGTTTCTCTAGAGATCTATCAACACATAGATAGGTACATAAAACATAGAATCTGCATTAAATGAAATATCACCCAGCTCTAAACAGGAAAGGAGTCCTTACCAGTGTTTCAATGGATGACTCTTGACATTATGCTAAGGACCCAAAAGGACACGGACTGTATGAGTTTACTTCTATGAAATGCCCAGGACAGACAAATCCACAGAGAAAGAATGAGTAGTGATTGCCAAGTATTGGAGGAAAAAGGCACTGAGAATGACTGGTCAGTGATATCAAAGACAGTTGTGGTTACACAGCATTGTGAATGTACTTCAAACTACTGAGCTGTACACTTTAAAACAGTTTAAGTGGCAAGTTTTACTTTGCATATGTTTACACACACATAGGCACCCGTGCACATGTGCACGCGCATGTGTACAGAGCACGCGCACGCGCGTGCGCGCGCGCACACACACACACACACACACACACACACACACGGAACTCCTCCTTGGAACCATTGTGATTTTTTAAAAAGCTTCAGAAAGGTCAAGCCGTAACCTTAAGCAAGTTGCTGAGTTCCTTACTTCCTCATCTGAAGAATAAGGACAAACATTGCTGTCAGGATTAAATACATGAATGCTATGGTTTCAGTGTTTTCCCCCAGAGCCCACATATTAAAGGCCTGGTCCAAAGTACAATGCTCTTAAGAGCTCAGACCTTGGGGATGTCATTAGGTCATTGGGGACATGCTGTTGAGTATTGTGGAACTCCAGTCTCTTTCTCTTCTGCTCTTTTGCTTCCTAGCTTTGAGATGAATGGTTTTACTTTGCCGCAGACTACCAGGATATGATGTCTCACCACAGCCCAAAGCAACAGGGCCAGTCAGACTGGCCTCCGAACTGTGAGACAAAATATACCTTTTTCTCTTTCTAAATTGATGGTCTCAGGTTTTTTGTTATAGTGACAGGAAGCTAATACACAGGATAATGCACGTGAAGTGTTAAGTATATTGCGCTATTCAATACATGTTAGCTATGACTGGCATTAGTCCTCAGTGATGCTTTGCTTTTTTTGGTGTGAGTTCCTTCCTAAGAGCAAGTTTTTGTTTGTTTATTTGTTTGTTTTAATGAGATCTAGAAACACATCTAGAGCTATAGCCACTATGAGAATACAGAAGGGTGCTTAATGGGCAAATGTGACTTCTTTTCAGGCAGGTCCAGACTGAACACACTGAGTAATACTTGAAAAGGGACAGAGAGGAGAGGAGAAAGCTTGATTGGGGTTTGGGTATCTTTTGGATATCTTATTCAAAGCTCATGGAGAGAGATTAAGATAAAGTTGGGAAACAACACTTTTACCTCTTATAAGAAAGTGAAAGGATTTAAGTCTAGAACCGGGACACTTTTAAATTTATTACTCTACCAGGATAGGTTTCCCGGCAAGGCAAGAAGGTAGCAAGGTCACCGTCCCCTGCAGAAGGCGGCCCAGGGCCCGAGCTGTCAACCAAGTGTTTGATTATTGTGAAGGCAGCCTGTTGTTAAATGTATTCTCTCATACCCCCAAACTTCCTTTCCCTTCAAATGTGAAACAAGATGAACCAAATAACCAGAGGTAAATACACGTTCAACTTTTTCTTTATGAAACTACCAAAACAAACTTGGCTACAGGAAACAGAACTATCTTTAATGCATTTGTTGAAAGGACTTAAGAGACATTAACCATGCCCAGTGTTTGTCTCAGATCAGTTTTTCTGATCATAGGCGTCCCTTCTCCCTTCCTCTCTAGCCTTTTGTTATCCATAGCTGCTTACAAATTGTCCTGAGTTCTATTATGACTTGGGGTGACACCTCTACCTCCCACCAGAAGGTAGATGCAGGAGATTTATACCCATTCACCGAGCTACAGAACATATAATTTAGTGATAATGTCTGCGTACTGATTAGGGACAACCAGAGAGGCAATTAAAGAAGCAAAATTGATGCCTGTATCCTAAGTGACAGTTTGAAGGCTGCACTACACATGAGATCAAAGAGACAGGTCTACCATTCACGTGCACAATGGTAACATTTAATAAACTTAATGAAAATGGCAGAGTGGCCAGTTTTTGTCTCTAGCTTCTGAGTTTTACATACATGCCCCAGCAGGGAAAGCCTGGTCCCATTCCAGGTCTAAAGAATCACATGCCCTGGAAATTCCAGAAAATGAGGAGGAATACTTGTCTTTGAAGTTTTATATCCAATTTGTCCAAAAACTATTTTCTTTCCTTCTCTCCATCCTTTCTCTCATTCTTTTCTGGGAGTTGGAATACATACTCGCAACAATGAGGTACTTATTGATATGTTACAACAGCTGTAATTGAAGTGCATAATTCTTTAAAGGTAAGGTATGAAGAGTAAGTTGCGCGTAGATGCAATTGAGGTATTCTGCAATTTAGATTTAATATTAAAATTCTATCTTAGCACCAACAGCAGGCTGTTTTAGAGTCTTTCAATGAGAAATGGAACAGTAGGTGACACAAGCTGAGCAACAGGATTAAAAGACAACTATCCCTGCCAGGCACTGGTAGCTCATACCTGTAATTCTATCTACTCAGGAGGCTGAGATCTGAGGATCCCAGTTTCAAAACCAGTTTGAGCAGCAAAGTTCATGAGACACTTAACTCCAAGTAACCACCAAAAACAGCACAAAGTAGCCCAAGTGGTAGAATGCTAGCCTTGAACAAAAAAAAATTAAAAAAACAACTAAGGGACAGCAACCAGATCTGGAGTTCAAGCCTCAGTTCCAGCACACACACACACACACACACACACACACACCAATAATTCCAACTATTAACAATACTCAAGACTAATCACCCTCGCCTCATGTTATAAATATGCTCTCCAAGAACTGTTGGAGTCACAGTGATAGAAAGACAATTAATTGTTTCAGAAAGACAAAATGTACTTCTGTAGAAGGGTGGGCCACTAGCCAAAAATCTGGCAAGCAAGCACACAGAGCAGGCTGGCTGTTCTATTTATTTATCCCTAACACAGCAGGCCCTGCCCCTCTGCTCAGATTGGTTGAGTGCACACTCATAATCTACTTCTGATTGGCTAGTTTGAATAGGATAAAATGTATTTACATAAGGTGACTTTGAAATAAGATTAACAGTACTCATGTAATCTCAAAATATACCTGCACTCTGCTATTTCTTGAACCATCTGAGGATTGTCTTAATTCCATCTAGAAAAGAAGCCAGTTTGAGACAAAACCTTACATTTCAAAAATCCTCCCTTATCCCAAAGCAGTTCCTCTTTTCCTTAACAAGTCTAGGCACCAGGCCAAAGCAGGAACTTTTAAGCAACACACTTTGATAGAAGACAGTTTTTCTCATACCCCATAATAGAGAAGTAGGAGTCACTAGATTTTAACAGCCAATAGATTTAAAAGAACAGAAACCAGCACAATACTTACAGTTATCATATCTTGGTTCCAATATTTATTTATATTGACAGGAATACTGGGATAAATAATATCTTGTTTTACAGAAAATTGTAATGATACTATTGAGTAGGATTAAACACTCTGAGGATTTCACAGAAACATCAGAATTTTAACAGACAGTAGCCAGAGTCCTGTGGCCAATGTGACTGACCACAGCTACTCATGCTGTGGGCCAGATTTCTTAAAACAGCTACCTGACAAAAACAATACCATCTGACATCCAATAATGCCACAGCCTGGGCATCACATGGCTTCAAACGTGTGTCTCTATGGACTGTGGTTGTGACCACAGGAAAGGAAAACGGAATCTTCTTTGGCTCTGCTGGCCTCGAAATAACTCCTGACCTGAGTCACTGAGCAACAGTCCTAACCCTTTGGAGGCTGGACCTGCTTTCTGCTTTTCTGTGACAGTGTAACTGAGTTGACAACAGAAGATCTGTTGTCCTGCCCACTGACCCTTCATTAACTCTCGGGTGTCTAGGGAGCAGTGTCCTCTGTTGACAATCCGTTAGCATCTGCTATCCAGCAAGACGATTTTACTCTCCTGAGCAGGCAAACTCTTCTGGCCACCTGAACAGCTTTGTGAAACTCTGTCCACGGTGAGCGGGCCTCCCCACCCGCCCCAAGTCTCAGACACTAGATCTGAAGAAAATCACAGAGAAGTCACACCAGCAATGTGTGAAACAAACATGAAAACAGCACAGTTCCTAATTCTGAAATGAATGCCTTGCACACAGTAATTCCGGGACATAACAGCGTATTTGCTAGAAAGCCCAACCCCAGGCCATTGCACAACTTTGAGAAATGCGTTCACTCCAAGTCCCTTATGAGAGACGCAGCTGCAGTGGAGGAGGTGTCCCACCCTATCCACCCATCCAAAGTACAGACACCTCTGTAATGATTCCTATTGGTGGGCATCCTGGTTCTTGTGGAATCCAGATGCAAAGCGGGCAGGACCCTAGCCAGGGGCCACCTGGAACATCTATGAATAGCCAGTGTAGGAAGGACCAAATCCTGAAGTTGTGGCAAAGGTGGCCACAAAGGTTGCCCTGGTCCAAAGTTCACTCTGAGGCAGAGTGGGAAGGCCCAGTACAGTGACCAATGGTTCTCAGCTTCTGGGATGCTAGATGTGCACAGGAAGTTGGCTTTCCAATGGCTTCGGGGTTTTGGGTAGAAAAGGAGGATTCAGTGAGGACTCCTCAGTTGTCCCCATGCCATAGGTGCTTAGCTCTGCAATGTTCCTTCTTTTATCTGTTGGATAAAGAGGTTTCGCTCATCTTCTGGAGTCCGCCCGTTCTGAGCTCGGACAATACACGTGGGCCGGTGCAGGTTGAGCATGTATATCAAATGCTGTTTCTCATTCTTCAGCTCCTCGATTTGGGCCTTCAGTTCAGCATTCACACTCTCCAGCTTCTCTGACTCCTGGAGGCCAAGCAGCAGAGGCATGGTTAAGAAGGGAACCAAGGCCAGGAAGGAGGAAACGGCAAGGGCAACACCAGCACCCTGGGGCTCATCAAGCTGAGAGCCAGTTATTGAGGCAATCACTCCCCCACAGTACTACATATGGATAATGTGAGAAGCCTTTGAATCTGAGGTCTTGCCAGAGAGGCCAAGGAAATGCCACCAAGTTGGTCAGTGACCTGGCTAAAGCTAAAGCTGCAGGTGAACCCACAGTTCGGAGATAGCTTGTGCTTGAGTCCAATGGCCCATGTGTAGGGTGTGAGGACTAGAAAAGATCTTGGGAAACCAGGAGGAAACCCAGACATTCATGTTGCTTAGTCTTTTGTGTCCTGATCTCAACGCAAAGCTGATCTCTTCAGCGGGGGGAAAAAGCTGCTTGTCAAAACACAAAACTTTCTTAATCTCCACTGACCCTTGAAGCAATCATCAAGAGCCCTCAAAGACGGGTGATCTGGCTTAAAACTCTTGGGGAGCAGACACAGCCATTGGCAAGACTGCCAGGCACTGTGGCGTGCCCACACATGCTGTCCTCCTGGCTTTTCTCAGGGGGTGCTAGCCCAATGCAGTCAGGAGCTGAGAGCCTAGAGAATGGGAACAGAGCTCAGATCTACACCGGAATGCAAAGGAACTATCAGCACCGCTTACAAATTAAGGAAATAGCTTGTTCGAAGAGATTAATTAAAGGCTTTTCATAGTGAACCAAATAACAGCTGGCAGTTTCTTTTTTGGGAAATTGGGTAAGTGAAACCTCTTTAACTGGGCTGGTGTAACCTGCAGCTTGGAAGCTTCTAGATAAGCAAAGACTTGCCAAGGCTGCTAGAAGTCTGGACAGCAAACGGTCTTATATGGCCTCTTCAGTATTCAGAGTCCCATCCATGAAGTAGCTACACTTCATTCTGCACGGTAGTATTTCTGCCACCAATGACAAGTCCCTTCTTAGGAAAACATGGCCAGGGGACTTGCAAATTCTCCTTCCAACAGCAAGAAAAGGCTATTGGGAGACAAGTGTTAGCAAGAAAGAGACAGAGCAGGCGGGAAGGTACTCACTTTCTGCAGACACTCTGTCTTCTCCTTCTTCTTGTTTCGACACTTGGCAGCAGCAATCTTATTCCTCTCCCGTCGCCTCTTTTTTCTCTCATCTTCTTCAGGGGCTACCTATGAAATAAGGCATATGTTTAACATCACCACAAAAGGACTTGAATAACCTACAAAAGCAACCAGGGCTACCTAATGCTAAAGTGACTCAGAAAAAAAAGCACTTGACTTTTCACTCCTCCCCTCCACTGCCTCCCCACCCCCCCAGCAATATACACACCTAAGAATGAACTTTTAGCTGTGGCTCATGCCTGTAATCCTAGCAATTCGGAAGGCTGAGATCGGAGGCTCACTATTCAAAAACAGCCCAGGCAGGAAAAGTCAGTGAGACTTATCCCCACTTAGCCACCAAAAGGCTGGAAGTGGGGCTGCAACTCAAAGTGCTGGAGCACTAGCCTTGAGCAAAAAAGCTCAGGGACAGTGCCCAGGCCCTAGTTCAAGCCCTAAGACTGGCACTGACGGAGGGGGAAAAAAAAGAATGAACATTTTGGTGAAAAGGATAAACGTGACCAAGATGTATTGTACTCATAAGATGATATGTTGAATGATAACCCCCCCTTTGAACAACTACTTAAATAAAAATAAAAAATTTTTCTTAAAAAGAGAATGAACCTTCATCTACTGAGTCAATAAGTCATCTCCTGTGACTCTCCTTGAGCCAGCCTTGAGCTCAGTGCAGAATAAAATCCTGTTACCCTGCTTTGGGAGGTGGTCCTCCAGGGGAGTTCACCCAGACCCTCACTTGGTCTGTGGGCTGATAAGGAATCAGCAGCATCCAGCCACTGGAAATAGAGACTACAGTCCATCTGGGATGAAGCACTCATGGTGAACTTAGTGGGTGGCAGTTTAGGCTGTCAATGTCAGAAAAGGTGTGGGAACTGCATGTAAACTCTAATAGCTCCTAGGTTACCATTAATCACCTCCTGTCTGATATTTCTCTGTTATTTTGAACCAGACGGCTCTGACTATGCGCTGTTAGAGATGGAAGACCTGCACTCCAGAGAAACAGAGTCCAAGGAGAAATATGGTGAGAGGAATTTCCACCTATCCACTTTTCCCTCTTAGATTCTAGAACCACCCAGGCCTAAAGTTGGGCTTTGGCTAAAGTTACTTTTCTGAGCCTCCCTTATTGTAAACTGGAATCAGCAGTGTCACCTGCCTTACTGCTATCATTATGAAGATTAACTAAACTAACACATGTAAAATGCTTTGCTTTTATCTAGTAAGCATTATATAAACTTTAGCTACTATTTTTTATCTTTTTTTTTCCAGTCCATCATGGGGCTTGAACTCTAGGTCTGGGCACTTCTAGGTCTTGAGCTCTTCAGCTCAAGGCAAGCATTCTACCACTTGAGCCACAGCACCACTTCTGGTTTTCTGGTTAACTGGAGATGAGTCTGGACTTTCCTGCCTGGGCTGGCTTTGAACCATGATTCTCAGATCTCAGCCTCCTGAGTATCCAGGATTACAGGTGTGAGCCACTGGCGCCCAGCTTACTTTTTAATGTTATTATTACCCTCACCATCAAGATAAAACCCTTCTTCAAGACATTGCAGCTCTACAGATATTTCCTTTGCAACCCTATAGATATTTTAGATGAGTGGGAGAAGACTCCGATTTGCTCATATAAGGAAGTATACTTGGAAATAGAGTAAATCCTGAGTTTTAAACTGTCCAAGAGAGGAATGGCTTTCTAAGAGACCATTTAGTTCAGTTCTCTTGTTTTACTGATAAAGAAATGGAGATACAGAAAGGCCAGTCAAAATGCACCCAGGTAGGCCCCAGGAACCCATCCCAGAGGCTACAAACCCTGGATGTAAGCCCAGGGGTTTTGTTGCCTTTCTCATTGTCTCCTGACCATAGCTGCCTTGTTCAACCATGTTACCTTCCCAGAGGGGACAGGGATCTGAGAAACAGGCTCACACTGTCCAGACCCACAGGATAATGATGGCTTTCACAGGCTCAGTATCTTATTTGAAGATAAGAGTTATAGCTACCAAAAAGACCACATATTCAACTAGATCTACTGGTACTTTCTCTTTCCCCAAAATAGGTAAAACTGCTTGTTTCCCTGACTGAAGATCAGGAAGTCAGTCAACTTGGTGAACACAGAAAAGATGAATCGTACGATTTTCAAGAGTGTTGCTATGAGGAAGACTGCCAATTATTTCTTCCTTCCTTCCTTCCTTCCTTCCTTCTTTCCTTCCTTCCTTCCTTCCTTCCTATTCTTCCTTCCCTTCTCTGCCTCCCTCCTCTATATCCCTACATCCTTCCCTTCATCACGCATTGCATTTTGTTATATTAAAAAATTCCTCACACTGTACAATATTGGACTGACAACAGCAAACATTCTGTGGTTCCCTCTGTTGATCTCCTCTGAGGGGAACTGGGAACACAGATAATGCCTCTAAATCATGCCTAATGGAATACCAGCAACTGTTCATTGAAAGCTATAAGACAGGCCCTCTTCTAGAGCTTTTGCAAATGTCTTAACCCTTAGATCAATTCTACGAAGGAGTAATTACAGAATAATAAGGGTAATGACGGCGATGATGACTTTATATTGACAGTGATGGGGATCAAACCCAGGCCTTACACATTCTAGGCAAGTGCTCTATTTCCCCACTCTACAACCCCAAACCTCAGTCTCCTTTGGAACCAGTTCTTTTGAGCCAGTTCCACTGCTCTTTGCTGAAAGGCTACAATTGCCAGTTAGGTAATTCTGAAATATTCCATCTTGCAACTATGATGGCACGTCCAACAATACTGCAAGATCTTGGCTCTGATGTCCTTGAACCATCACCATCAACCATGTCTCAAACTTATCACCATGCCTGTTACTCCAGGTCTTATGAAAGAGCAAATCACAGCACGTGTCTGTCTGTGGCAGAAGTGAACTTGGAGCAGACACTTGGTACCAAGTCTGTGAGCATTGCTATAAGCGATGGCAAAGCTGGCTGCCTGGTCCTCACTGTGCTGTCTAAGCAATTGTGTCCTGGAGGTAATGGAAATAATGATGCGACTCGTTGATTCCTCAGAAAGACTCAACACAAAAGGTGACCTTACCCCAATCATCATGGTTTCAAATACCAGACACATATCCCTGGCTTCTATCTCCCTCTGTATCTCTAGCAGATTCTCTTCTGGACTCTAGGTATACACCTGCCTGCTTGACATCTCCATGGTTCTTGTCCTACCCAAGTCTCCTACAGTTCCAACCCCAGCGGCAAATGAACATTCCCTGCTCCCAGCTGTGTAGGGCTGACCATGTAAGATCACCCTAAGCTCTTTTTCTTCCACACCCACAAAGCTTTCTCCTCAAGTCACATCTAGAGTCAACTACTTCTCAGCACCTGCACCGCATCCATCCTGAGCCAGACCCTCTTTGGCTGTCCATGATCTACACACTCTAGTCATGCCGTTACTGCCCATTCTTGACCAGAACAATCACATATAAATACGTCAGAGCAAGGTACCACTCTGCTCAGAAACCCTCCAATGGCTTCCCACAGTTATATACATACGTACATATATCCACACATACATACATATGTGTGTATATATATAAAACATGGTTATATTTATACAAGCGTTTATAAGACCCAGTGTTATCTGTCCCTCCTTCACTCCCACCCCTACATTCTACCCTAACACACTGCCCACTCTACACCAACCACGCTCCTCCCTCAGTACACTAATCCTCTCTTGCCAGTTTCCTACATGACTCCCACCTCTTCCAAGTCCCTCTTCACAAAGCTACTAGCAGTGAAGCCTTTCCTGACCTCTCCCCTTAAAACAGCAACCCTAGCCATTCCCTCTCTCCCTGGTCCCCTTCCATGCACTTGTCTCTCATGCTATTCCTTCACTAATTCTTTTTGTTGTTGTTCTGAGACAGGGTCTCACTGCATAGCCCAGGCTAGCCTTGAACTTGAGACCCTGCTGCCTTAGCCTCCTGAGGGCTAGGATGATAGACCTCGGCAGGCCTGCTTGCTTACTTCGTCTATGTATTGTCTTTAGACAATAGTGACAACCTGCAAGGTAGAAGATAAACCCTAAGGCTGGTCTTTTGTGGCATTTATTCCTATAAAACAGGCTCCTAGCCAGGTGCTGGCGACTCTTGCCTGTGACCCTAGCTACTCAGGAGGCTGAGATCTGAGAACTGCGGTTTGAGGCCAGCCCACACAGGACAGTCTACAAGACTCTCATCTCTAGTATAAACTACTCAGAAAAGGCTAGAAGTGGCGCTGTGGCTCAAGTAGTAGAGCGCTAGCCTTGAGCAGAAGCAGCTCAGGGATAGCACCTAGGCTCTCATGAGTTCAAGCTCCAGGACTCGCAAAACAAAATAAAATATAAAACATATACCTATGTGGTAAGTGTGATAAAAAATATGTATATGTGCTCATTAAATGAAAATATGGGGTGGAACCCACCTCTGGTTTCGTGACTGTCATCTCCAGGGGTCTGTTGCTGACTGTGACTGACTCCAGTGCAGAGGACATCCGATGACAGAGGTGCTTGTTCTGGATGGCAAACCTCAGCTCTTCCTTGACAAAGGGTGTCAAGTTAGCAAAATCCTCAAACACCAATGACCCAGGAGGGGACAGGCAAGGGACGATGGCAGAGGCACTCACTTCTGAGGCAGAGACCTGGCCCGGGTGCTGAAGCATCATTTTGCTGAAAGACACATTGAAACCCAAACTGCTTCAGGGGTTCCGGGGCATGGGATTAAATCCTCTTTACCTGTCACCTCCCCCCCCCAAAGCCAGAGCTACCCAACCCCAGAGGACAGTCCCATCAGCCCCCAGGCTAATGACTTCTTTTCATGGCATGTCATCCTCTTCTTGAGTAAAACAGGTTTAAAATACCCAGCTCAGTGACGTGGATGACACGCTTATTCAAGTTTATAAGGGGTGACATTTCAGGTTATTCTGAACTCTTCTAAGAGCTGTTAGTTTGGGCCATAGTAGAGATATGCAAATGTTGTGTCAGTCTCAAAGAGACGTTATATATATTTTAAAAAATCAGATCATTCTGCAATCCCATTTTCAGTCTTTTTCTCAAAAAGAAATCCCAGAATCAAGAATCAGTGAGTACACATAAAAAGACGGAGACCCTTGCTCAGCAACTTAATCACTGAAGCTTCCCTTCCAGGAAGTTGGATCCAAGTAACAGGAATGAGGAAGGTAATAGTAGCTGGGTGTGCTTTGTTGCCCCAGTCCTTGGCAGGGGATAGCAATGGCAGGGATTCAGGTCATGTGGGGAACATACAGCCCCTTCTAAAGGTTGTCTAAGCAAAAGACCTCAGGGTAAGGAAAAGTCAAGAGCAAAGATTTGGACATTAGCCCTGAGGTACAAATTAAAGCTTGGACTAAGGGCAGAGTTAAGGCACAAGGACAGGTGACTTGGGCTAGTCAACAGCTCTTTGAGACCTGGTGGTTTAGCTGGCCAATGGCCAGGAACTCCTCCAGTGCAGCACGGACTTGCTCTTATACTCTTCTGGCACCTGGCCCAACACCGGGCTCACAATGCTTGCTGGCCATGTGGGCAGACACTGCCTAGTCTAATAAATAAAATGGGAGTTGGATGCTGATGGCTAACATCTGTAATACTAAATACTCAAGAGGGTGAGTAGGAAAATCTATGAGACTCTTATCTCTAATAAACCAGTGATAGGTATAGACTCATTATAGAGTGAAAAAGCTAAGGAACAGTGTCCAGGCCCCGAGTTCAAGACCCAATACAACACAAAAATAAAACAAAACAATAAATGAAATGAAATGGGGATGAAGTAGTCAAAGCAAGCAACCCCTAAAGTTTCATTCACTTCTATCATTCTATAGGTCAGTAAACTCAAAGGGATGACAAATAGTAAGCATTCCATTGTTACGACTTAGAATAGTCCCCTCTGGTGACTTGGCCCATTCCCCCTGATCCCTAAAGTTGATTCTCAGGAGCAATTAGTGTGGGCACTATTGGAGCACATGGTGTACTGCAGCATCCTTATCAATCCAACCACCTGTGGTCGTTAGCCAAGTATAGTCAAATAGGAAGTCCTCTGGCAAATCTCTAAGATTTGAGTAGTATGTCCTTCATCCACCAAACCTTATGTCCATTATCTCATTTAATTCTCTGAGAAAGGCAGTGTGTTAGGACCATTTTACACAAGAGTTAACTAAGGCTTAGACAAACTAAGCCATTTCTCCAAAGTCATAAGAACACCGGACAGGGTCAGAATTTGGAATTGGGTTTGAGCTTTCTATCCACAAAATTCCCACACAGGGACCTGAAAATCAAGATTTGAAGACCACTCAGTTATATGTCTTCACTGTAGTTCCCGGGGGCTTCTTTCTCTTTTATTTCCCCAGGAGCCTTGTGAGGAGTTGTGGAAATAATACATGAATAATGGGTGGAAAGTCTTGTGCAACTAGGGGCTATATTATTACTGGGTCTCCCAGAGATCTGTCCTGCGGAGGGCTGGCTCTCTACCAGAAATGTGGATGTCCAGGGACACCCTGGCCTCTTAATCCCACTGGATATCCAATATCCACTGCTGAAGGCAAGAATTCCGGGCTAATTAATGCTACCCTCCACAAGACAGAAGAACCCAAGAAAAGTATGTAATCTTCATCTAAAGCCTCACAAGTCAGAACTAAAGTTCTTCTCTCAATCCTATAATCTTAGGATACTGGGGAGAGACTTGTATCAGGGATAAACCCTAGGCTTCTGAAGCCAGAAGTCTGAGATTCTCCCTGGTATATATGTTTCTCCTTCTTTTCCAACTTTATTTAAAAACCCAACAGAGTTACAGGTCGAGCTACACCCAGACTGGCCTTGTTTGGAGGACTGGATGGCTCCCCTGTACATGGGTAGTTTGAATTCCACTATGATTATGTCCTTCTTGCCATGAAGCTAAGTTTATTAATGAGCCCAAAGCGGTTGGGGTCTGTTTGGAACTTTTTATTTTTACTCTTTTCTCATACATCAGTCCTGATGAAAGAAAGTGACGAATGAGCCAGGCATCTGTGGCTCATACCTGTAATCCTACCTACGTAGGAGGCTGAGATCTGAGGATCGCAGTTCAAAGCCAGCTCAGACAGAAAAGTCCCAATAAGGCTCTTATCTCCAATTAACCACTCAAAACAACAACAGCAACAGCAAAACTGGAAGTGGAGCTGTGGCTCTAAGTGATAGCGAGCTAACCTTAAGCAAAAGAACTCAAGGACAGCAACCAGGCCCTGAGTTCAAGCCCCACAACTGACAAAAAGAAAGAAAGAAAATGAAGAATGTCAGTGATATAGAGTATTTTATGAAAAGCATGAAATGAGCTTATTTGGGGACAGAAATGGGTTGTGACACTGTTAAGAGCCTTTTTGATAATAAAGGAATGATATCTGTAGAGGTTTGATCTTTCTCTGTAAGCTAATAAAGCTGAACCTCTGGGTCCTTTCTAGTTTGTCCTTTACTTGATCTCCTATGGTACAATTCAGCCTAAATGAAGGCTGTGTTCCCACAAGGAAAATGAAACTAAGCCTTCATTTTTATTTTCTATTAATTTTATTTTTTATTAAATTCATATATATTATTATCATTATTTGAAAGTCAAGATCCTAGGGCTGGGTAACTCACACTTGTAATCCTAGCTACTCAGGAGACTGAGGTCTAAGGATCATGGTTGGAAGCCAGCCCAGGAAGGAAAGTCCATGAAACTCTGATTTCCAAAAACCTAAGAATGGAGCTGTGTCTATAGTGGAACCAACCTTAAGTTTAAAAAAGGTAAGGGAGCCGGGCGCTGGTGGCTCACGCCTGTAATCCTAGCTACTCAGGAGGCTGAGATCTGAGGATCGCGGTTCAAAGCCAGCCCGGGCAGGAAAGACCGTGAG